TCTCTCTCTCTCTCTCTCTCTCTCTCTCTCTCTCTCTCTCTCTCTCTCTCTCTCTCTCTCTCTCTCTCTCTCTCTGTGTGTGTGTGTGTGTGTTAGCGCCCTGCTCCCTGTCTCTCAGAACCCGATCAGACCTTTCCTGGCTATTTTTGGCCATTTGCTGCAGCTAATGTCCCTCCTGGTTGACTGGCTGTGCAGCGTCCTGTCTTTCCCTGCCTCTCCCAATCCGACCTGGCAATTCCTGGGTATGTCCGGTCGTTCATGGTATCCACTATACCCTCCCGGTTAACTGTGAAGCAGGTAGAGACTAACTTTCCAGCTTAGAACTCTCAACATTTTTGTAACATTTCTGTAGCAACTTGTGTGACTGCAAAGCTGCAGTGGCAACACTCAAACCGAACATGTTGTTTGATGGGTGTGCTATGTCTGTTAGTGCTGCTCTCCTTTGTTTGTGGCTTGTCTGGCTTACCGGTTCCATTGCATGCTTGGATAGCCTCCATTCCATGTGGTTCATCGAACAAAATGCCTCACCTCGATGGCTCACAGCATACTCAGTACTGGGGCTTCCTTGGACGACTCTGGCTAGCTCTAGGGCATTCTTGGATGACTATGGACGCAATTGCAGCCAGATTGAGGCCAATAAGTTGCAGTCACTGTTGGACTTAGGTTCCATCTGGTAAATGAATGCCTCAGGTTCCCGCCACAATGTCTTAGGGCATAGTCAATGCCTTAGGTTCCCGCCACAATGTCTTAGGGCATAGTCACAATACGACTTTCACAGACGAATCCGATTGCTGGCACATTCAGTCCAAGAAGCTGCCTTGCAATACGCTCGTAGGGCCCAACAACTATGCCTCAAGTCTGGTTTGTACTAAGTCCTCCATGCACTTGTTTACCTCCAGTTTCTTCCGCACCAGGTCCAGTTTCTTCCGTACCAGGTTTAGGTCTTTCAAATCAAGGTCCAGGTCTCTCCATACCAGGTCCAGGTCTTTCCAAGATGTCCTTACCTCAGTTTCTTCTTCGGTCTTCAATGTGTTCTTCATTTCAACACCTTTTGCATAGTTCCCACCTTGGACCTTCATTCCCCACCCTCCTTAAATTCAGCCCCCATAGCCTCTCCAATGCCTCTTCCTTCTCGACTGCCCCTACCATCTTCACCCGAATACAACGCCGGCTCTTCAGGGCTGAAAGTTGCCCCGAATACAGCTATATTGACCAGGCGTTCTATTCGGGTGAAGACAGTAGTTTCTTTACTCACAGTTCTTCGTTCCATTCGGTTTTGCATCGTCCTCCTTGGTGTCTTCATCACCCCTACCTCTTCCATCTTCACCTTTTTCTGCTGTTCTTGCCTTCTCTGGCTTTGTTCTCCCATGCTTCTTCAACTATTTTGTTGATCTCTAACACCTTTTTCCCTCCCTCAGTTTGACTGTACTGGGTTCATCATCCCCTGTGCTTTTACTATTCTCCCCTTCTCTGCCATCCTTGCCTTCACGGTCTTTAATCCACCATGATTCTTCATCCTTCCTTGTTTCTTTTGCTCCCCGTTCTTCTCTCTGACCCCCTTTCCCCTGCCCTCTTTGCCTTCTTTGCCTTCTTTGCCTTCTTTTTTTCCACTGCGTGGACTTTTATCACTCCAAGCTGCCCGTGACTGCCTGTTTGTGGCTCTCCTTTCCCTTCTTCTACTTCTCGTTCCTCTTCTTCGCAGACCTTGTTCTCTGTGCAAGGCTGCAGGCCACGGGGGGGGCGCCCAGGGGGGGAAATTGACCCGGCCCTTAGTGAAGGCCTTGGAAGAATTCGCTAGCCGTGAGTGAAGGCTGGCATGAGACAGTTGGGAAGGAAGGCTGAGCACAGCCTCTGCAACCATCCAGTAGGCTCAGCCTTCAAGTTAGTTGCAGAGGCAGGGGCGCTGGTACTCAGTCCGGGAAGAGCCCACTCCCAGTCCAGAGGAAGGAGGTCATAGCGTTCCACACAGTAGCATGCACTGGCTGCTACGGTCTACACCCGAATAGAATGCCCGGTCATTCCGGGTGTTCTATTCGGGTGAAGACTGTAGCACTACCGGTAGCTCTGGGGAGAGCGCACACAGCCCGGCCAGCACTCATTGAACAAGAAGAATGAGCAGCAGCCACGGCATAGCTGCTCCACTCAATGGCAGCGGCATCCATAGCTGCGCTGAGGTGGAAGAAGAGTAGCGTTGGGGCTGGGGTGATCATGGTAGAAGGGCAGTGGGGTGTACAGGTTGATTTACCTGGCAAATGCCAAAAAGCACACTTATGGTGATCAAACTCTGCAGCATTCTTAGGTGAGAGGAGAGTGGACCGAAAGATAGAGTGCGAGGGAGATAAGTAGGCTGTGTGGAGAGAGAGAGAGAGAGAGAGAGAGAGAGAGAGAGAGAGAGAGAGAGAGAGAGAGAGAGAGAGAGAGAGAGAGAGTAGGAGAGTAGTACAGGTGGTTATCTCATAGTAGAGCTGCTACATTTTGTTTGTGTTGATGAGTGGAGGCGAGAAGTTGGGCTTTCTCTATCAACAGGCTTCAGTATCAGTGTGTTCTCATTTAGAAGAAAAAAAAGGGCGACGGCCTTGAGATATCATCATCGAACTGACTGTTACTAGGTAATGCAGAATTGTAGTATTTTACTCATCTGCATCCGGTGGAGTTTGAACCCAGGTCAGGAGTTCGAACCCAGGTATTTCAACTGTTCAGGAGTGTACCAACTGAGCTATGCAGTTCGTGTCAGTGTGTTCTCATTTGATGTGCTCTTGGCTTTGTAATTCTGCTTTGCACTTCGCTCCTGTATACTGGTTCTGCTTTGTGTAATGACCTGCCAAACACGGACTGAGACACACAGCTGATTTCTGAGTTTTGCTCATGGAATGTATGCCTTGCTGAGTTTCCCGCTTGTTGCTGAGTTTTCTAAGTCTGTGTGGGTGCGTGCTTGCTGGTCTGCATGCCTGTCTGAGTGCTTGTCGGCTTGAGTGTGTGTGTGACCCGCAAGGGCACTTGTTCAGAAGGCACGAAGGGCCGGTACTTAACTGTGGCCGTGACATTGAGGGTTGCAGCGGGGAAAACATGTAAGTGGCGGGGAAAGAGGCCCGTGACACTTGAGCAGCAGAAAACACTCAAGTAGCAGGTAGGCTGGTACCACACCAAGTAGAGGTAGATGTGCCGGGTACTCGAGGCCGACCAGAAGAAGACAAAAGTTGGCATTTTTAGAGGCCCAGTAGTTGTAGGCTAGGTCTAGGCGGGTACCAGTCCAACCAGTCTGAGTCTAGAGTCTGCAATGATGTTTCCCTCGGAAACGGAGGAGGTACCGGTTGCTTGGAGGCCGCGCAGTCTACGAAGTCAGTCGCCAAGAGGCAAGCAGGCCGCTATATCACCAGGAGGAGCAAAGTGCTCCTCCTCATGGTCGGTGTGCAAGTTTGGCGACACACTAGGCGGGTAACAGTCCAACCAGTCTGAGTCTAGAGTCTGCAATTATGTTTCCCTCGGAAAGGGAGGAGGTACCGGTTGCTTGGAGGCCGCACAGTCTAGGAAGTCAGTCGCCAAGAGGCAAGCAGGCCGGTATATCTCCAGGAGGAGCAAAGCGCTCATCCTCATTGTCGGTGTGCAAGTTTGGCGACACACTGGTTGGAGCGCTGGCTGGAGCAGCGCTAGCACAGAGCTGCGCTGCTGGGGGAAGGAGCAAGGACAGGAGGAGGATGAAGACCAGGACTAGGAAGGGAAAGCGCCAGAGGTACTTACCTGGCTATGGTGGTTGCCATCTTCATCACCTTGGTGGGCGCTGCAGCAGGAAGGCCCCAGCTGGGGTAGAGCTACACCAAGAAGCTTCGAGGCAGAGTCAGGCATGACGGCCTGAGCTAGGGAAGCCATAGCTGCTTTGTGTTGTCCTTTGCACAGCAGGGCGATGCCCTGGTAGCCCACCATATCCTCGGCCTTGGAGGAAGGAGGAAGAAAGGTGGTCATGGCTAGAAGAGGGATTCGGACATTGATTCTGGTTCAGCCATTCAACATTATTATTATTATTTGTTGTTTGAATAAGAGGGGAGGAGATAAGGAGGAGGAGAGCGTTGGTGAAGAAGAAGGGAATTCTCATTGGTATTTGCTGGTGTACATCTTCTTCTTTCTTCTGTCTTCTTCTTCTTTTTCTTTCCCTCTCTCTCCTCTCAAGTTCATTCATTTCTTTTTGCAATTGGATGGCATCGTACTTTCTCATGAATGTGTACTTCGAAATTGGCCAGAATCATAACATTTGAGTCTTTTGCTACTCGGAAAACTTCTGTTCCAATTGATTGGTTCCTTGCGTCAGTGTCTAGCTGACCATAATAAAAGCCTGTTCTCAATGTCAAGTTGGTCACAAGAGCTTGTTCTTTGTCAAGTTGGTCACAAGAGCTTTTTCTTTGTCAAATCGGTAACAACAGCCTTTTCCCAGCGTCAAGTTGATCGTGGCCGCTGCCTTACGCTGTTTCTCAGTGCCTTGGCTTCTGATGCGCGCGTTTCGGGCTGTTGCTGGCTCCAAGAGTTGTTCTTATCATTTTTCAACTGAGAACGTTATGTACTTGCCGGGTTGGATTTTTGTGCTGGCCAGTTTTTTTCTCTCTCCTTTTTCAAGCGGGACGAGAGTTGAGTCTGTTGTGCATGCTGTTGGATGCTGTAATTTCAGACATGGGTGACAACTCACAAGCTATTGGTTCGTGCAAATCGTCTTCTTGATGGTACTCATAGGGCTGAGGGCGTCTTCTACAGAGCTGAACCTTGACAAGGGAGATAATTCCTTGCCTCCTTTTCCTGTTTTCATTCTGGGGAAAGGGTTTGCTGAGCACAAACTGGTGCGTTTCGGTATTGAGCAATCATCATGGAGACTGCTTTACGTTTCGAGTCCAGCACGAAGCGGTTTGGGCTCGTTGCCAAACAACGATTCCCAAGTGAAGGCAACTTCAATGTGACTTGTACAGGGTTTTTGAATGCCAAAGACGGAAGCGCCCATGGCACGTTTGTTCTTGGAAAGAAGTACTACCTAGACGGATTAACAAAGGTTGATGTCGGGGCAAGATATCATACCGAATTGGGGGAGGTTCTGTACACCGTTGGTGGGAAGAAGAAGATGAACATTACGGACAATGGGTTGCTAAGCCTCGATGTGAAGGGAAGGGTTACTTACGGCTCGAAAACCAAAGAGCCTGACTACAAGGCTAGCGTGGAGCTCAGTCAGAAGGTGTTTAATGTCACTGAGGGTCAAGACTTAGAGATTCTCTTGGGCTACGAAGCTGTAAATCGACGCCCGTATGCACGACTAAGGGAGAACAACTGGACTTTTAACACCGATTTCCATGCATGGACAGTGATGTATGATCTCTGAAGATGCTTTTCTTCAATTCCCAACGTCAAGATTGATCGAATTGCATCGACAGCTGAGTTTGAAACCTGAATTGGGATTATTGAAATGATTGGTGTGTATGCTCCTCATCTCGGTGCTTTGCCCAATGCTGCCTGATAAAAGATGCACCCCGTAAACGTTGACAATCACTTCTCCGTCCATCATCGGCTTTTTTGACTGCGAAGGCGTTGAGCAGCCAGGCAAAGAATTCCATTCCCGTATTTGTTCTTCTGCAGCAGTGGTTGGTGTCGGTATAGTCTATGTTTCTCTCCCTTGCTGATGTTGTCGTTCCACTCCGCTTTTGCCAGAGGTTTGACTTTCCCTGGGTCTTTGTGTGCTACTCGTAATATTCCAGTGGAAAGGCAGAGGACACTATTTCGAGGGTTTCGTATATCGTCCTTCTCTCCAGCCAACAGGATCACAAATGGCAGGTTCCTGGAGATGGTACGGTCTATGGAGATGGTTGTTTCTGGGATTTGGAGGGGATTGTGCGTCAGCACTCCTGGTGAGTGGTACCCTCTTAGGGCCATGCCCAGAACTGACCACTCCACGGCACTCTCAGGAAGGAGCGCTTGGAAATTGATTGTGGTTCTACTGTTGATACCACTTCTCTACTTTGTTTTTCAATCTGTTTGGCCTGACAGAGGTCACATGGCACACGTAAGCGTCAGGAAGGAGGATTGCTCTGGTTACGGACTGCACCAGCATCCTCCTCTGCATGGGTAACAGTATCAACGGTAACGATACCAAATGATAACAGTAACGAATGGTAAAAGATTGATAACAGTAACGAATGGTAAAACAAGGATAACAGTAACGAATGGTAAAAGGAGGAGTGGTAGTAGTACCAACGGTAAAAGTGCCATTGGTAACAGTATGGATTGTGCCGATGGACACGGCGTTGCCTTGGTCTGTGGCTGATATGTTTGTGGCCAATATGTTATAAAGCACTTCAACAGCATGAAGATGTTTGCAAGGGATAATCTGATGGAAGGCTGAAGGCATCCACCCTTTGATGTCACACAGATTTGTCGGCTGGATGAGATGGATCAGATTGATTGGCTCAGCTGGTGGGTGTTTCATCAACCTGTGGTTTTCTGGCGCAATGCAATGTCGTTCATCTGAATGGCATAAGCAAGTGCTCTGAACTTGTCAAGAGCTGCAGCCGTGGGTTTCATTTGCTGCCTGCAAGGTCACAGTCTCCAAAACTTGAGGCCAGAGAGGCCGAAGTCTCTCCAGTAACCCCCTTTTCTTATCTTGTTTGTGTGTTGTATCCCGAGTTATTCCATTGGTTTGTTCAGCAGAATAATGGCATAGTACTACAATCACCTTTGTAGGTGGTGGCAATTTTGCAGAAGATGCTGGTGATGTCCGTCAGCAATACCGGGTGAGCAATGATTTGCCCTTTGAGATACCGTGTGTGAGGGGGGTAAACTAGCTTTCCATTCACTGAAAGGTCGGTGTGCTTACTTTTAGGATGAACAAAGGGCAAGGGGAGGCAAGGGAGGGGCAGCGGTGAGAAGGGGTGCAGGGCTTGATTGGTCACAGTGGGAGGCACATTATGAGTGAGATATTGCGCTTATGACATTGGAGTGACTGTTCGATTGATTGATTGGTTGATTGGTTGAGTTGATTGGTTGGTTGGTTGGTTGGTTGATTGGTTGATGTTGTTCATACAGTGTTTTGTAATGGTTTGAAACAATAGAACTTCTGGGGCAGCCATTTTATGTGCTCTGGACCATGAGCTTGTTGCACTCCCTCCCCTTTCCCTCTCCCCCGCCTTGCCTCCTCCCTCCGTGGCCCCTTCCTCCCTCCCCCGCCATGCCCCCTTCTCTCTATTTGTTGCCACTGGGCGTCGCAGAGGGACACAAACAAGCACCTTCCTTTTTCCTCTGGGCAAGTCTTGATGCATACTCACAAAACCGAAACCCCATTCTTCCTCCACCCTATGGGTTTCCCTCCTGTCCCCATTGGAACAGCGTGCATTCTCCTGATGGCTTTCTGGTGACGTCATCCTCATTAATCATGTTAGATGTGCCTGCTGTACTTTCGGAAGCGCAACATGTTCAACATACAGTGGTAGGAATCTGTTAGAAGTCTCATGGTTGGGGTGTTGATGCCATCTGTGATTTGTGAATCTGCAATTGGAAAGTCATGTGATGGGTTTGCTTGCTAATCACAGGGCTCTCCAACCTGAGTAACCTTTCATTGTAGCACGCCTACCTGATGATCCCACCCAGTCCCCATTGCAAGTGCTCGCTCCCAACGGTTTTCTTACGTCTTCATTTGTCTAATCATGTTAGATGTGCCTGTTGCTTTTTGAGAATCTCAACATGTTGAAAATATAGTGGTAGGAACTTGTAAAAGTCTCATTTTTGGGGTGTTGATACATCTGAAACGGTTTTCACCTTTTAGCAGTATCGAATGCAGATCCCAGGGCTCGATCCCTAGTTCTCACCTTACCTGTGTACAGTATCTGTGTCGAATCCGAGTGTTTGAACCCGTGACCTGTGTTTTGACAGTTGTTGTTGTCTGTCGTAGGTCTGTGTAGTGGTAGGGGTTCAATCTGTAGGTGTGTCGAGTAGGAGTCACAGCCCTGTAGAGGTCGTAGCTGTAGGGATCCTGAAAGGTGAAGGTCGTAGCTGCTACAGTCCTGAGAGGTCAATGTCGTAGCTGCTACAGTGCTCGAAAGGCCAAGTCCACGAACTTCTGGAAGGTCCGGAAGTGGCCTTTCGAAGCTGCTCACGTTTGAGACATGCAAGTGGGCAAGTGGTGGAGTCTACCCGTGCTGAGTCAGCAGTCCGAGTCCCAGTCAGTCCTAGTCCAGTCCAGCAAGTACCGTACGGGACTGTGTGCACCATGGGCATGGGAAAGGGCCAGACCAACGAGCTGCAGAAGTATAAATTGAGAGGCAGCGACCAGCCATTCATTCATTTCCTGCGGAAGCCATGCGGAAGCGCTGCCATAGCAACTTGTGCGAGGTGGTCTGCAGTGAGCCTGAGGAAGAAGTGGGTGAGAAGGAAGTTAGCCATAGCGATAGGGTAGCAGCGGCCATAGCCGCCATAGCTGTAGGTGTGTGCGAGTGTACAAAGTGTTGCGTGTGGGGTATCCAGGGTGATCCTGTGTGTGAACAGCAGTGCTGAGTAAGTGGCGAACAGAGAGTTGTACAGGTGATGTGTCGCCATAGCCATTTGAAGTGAACTCGTATCTGAGCTATGTTTCTTGGTTCCTACATCTCTGAGTTTTGAGTGGGCGCTTGATGCCAGTTTGCTGCGCAACCTGTTTGCATGCCTGTGAAGTGTGAATGAGAGCGAGTCTGATTGCACTGGTATCAGAGCTGGTACCCGCTATCCCACGCGCCATAGGGCGCCATAGCGGAGGAGCGTCGCCAAGAAGGAGGTCCGCCATGGCTGCGCTGCGGAGAAGTGCCGTGTACCTGCACATAGAAGACAACAACGAGAGAGAGAGAGAGAGAGAGAGAGAGAGAGAGAGAGAGAGAGAGAGAGAGAGAGAGAGAGAGAGAGAGAGAGTTGAGCGATACAAGATTGGTTTGGTACGCACCTGCGCTGAAGATATCACCATAGAGAGAGAGGGAGAGAATTGAGTGATACAAGGTTGGTTGTGCAGTTGGACAGGGAAGGAAGTGGCGGCCATAGCCGCAGAGCTCGGACACGGGGTTGACGAAGGAAGGAGAAGTGGAGAAGGGAGGAGAGACCGGAGAGGAAGACATAGCTGAGGAAGGAGGGACAACGAAGTAGAAGACAGACATAGCTGAGGGTGAACCAAAAAAAAAAAAAGGAGAAAGAAGAAAGGTGAAGGAGGGGGAAAGAGAAGTGAAGGGAGGCGAGGAAGAAGGTGCCAGCAGCCATAGCCGACCGGAGGGTTGACCGGGGTTTGATCGCGTTGACCAAGGCGTTGACTGGAGCTGTTGACCACGATTTTGACCAAGCTGGAGTTGGTATAATCGCCAAGCCCTTAGCCTATCCCCTCGCCCTATGGATGTGCACTCACCCTATGGTACTTGCTGAGTTTGAGTTTGTTTGTCTCTCCTTTCTGCATTGAGTCTCTTCTGTCCAGGTGATAGGACTCCGTGTATGAAGGATAGGGCCTCGTTGACTGTGTCTGACCACTCGACTGTCTTGGAGGACACGAACCCTCCCAAGGACCGGTACTGACCGGCGGGCTGCTCGGTGTGGCACGGTAGGCCCAAAATCCGAGCTGACTGCACAATGGGCCATCTAAGTCTTGAGAGAACCTGCTGACCGCGTCGTCCTGTCTGCGACGTTAAAGAATTCCTGAGGAGTTACGGGGGATCTCCTTAAATGCCTCCTGGTCAGCAACAGGTTTTGTAGTGACGACTATAGTGATTAGAGTCTAGGCTAGAGACCATAGTTGACAGGGTTCCATACGGATCCTGTGGTCCATAGATTGAGTCAGTCTTAAGTTGAGTTAGTCAGGGGGAGAGTCGAAGTGGTGAGGAGTGGAACTGTCACTTGGTTGTGCGTCTATCACCATGGTTGACATAGTAGCGGAACGAGCACCTCCCCTTACACAACAGAGCAAGATGCGAAGACCGCCGCCATCCTAAAAGAGAGGAGAGGAGGAGGCCAAGAAGAAGGCCCTGATAGAGGAACAGGCGGCCAAACTGAAGAAGATTGAGGAAGAGATGAGGCTGAGGACAGAGCAGGAAGAGAAGTTGAAGGCGGTAGAAGAGGAGGAAGAGGTAGAAGAACTACCGCTGAAAAGAAGAAGAAGGGGGCAAGGAGGCGAGTCCGGTGGTACAAAAGAAGATATGATGGAGAAGAAGATTACGGAGTGGGTCGCTGGTTTATCCTTGGGGAAAAAGAGGAGGCGCTGATGTATGTGCCCAGGGAGGAACAAGAGGCCGCCATGAAAGAATGGGATGCAGAAGAAGACCCACTCAAGAGACAGGCGAGAGAGGATGAGAAAAGGATGGAGTGGAAGTTCCGATCGACGAGGGAGAGGAAAAGAAGAATGGAGGCGGCGAGCCAGGCGGCGAAAGAATTGGAGGAGGTGAAGAAACAGAGAGAGCAAATGGCGACGCAGGTGGATTTATTGGGGAAGATGGAGATAATGGCGAGAAACATAGAGCGCCTGGCACACGTCCAAGAAGAACAATACTTGTTCGGTAGAGGTCAGGACATTGCCTTACGCTCTAGACGGCTGGGGCTCAGGGACTTTGCAAGGGAATTGGCGACACAGGTGGGCTCAGAGGTGAGGGCCCGCCTAGAGGGCATATAGCATTATTGTACAGGCGCCATAGAAGGCGCCAGATTGACTGTTCCCAAGGAGGAGGAGGTACGTCCCCGAAGGGAGCCTGTTTCCCTGACTCCTATAGCGGGAAGAGAGAGGAGAATTCTGACAATTGGGAAGCCAATGTCAAGACATACGTCCGTTTGCAGAAGGTTTCCCCGGACGAGCATGTCTTGATAGCCATCCATGCCCTTCGAGACGAAGCAGCAAGCTTCGCCCGTTCCTTGTGCCGCGATTCAAACTGCAATGATCATCTAGTCGCTTATTCTGCGTTCACTCTCCTCACTGACTTTCTCAAGTTATTAAGGGAACGGTTTGCAGACGTTTCGCGTAGTGTCAAAGCCTCTGATAGGCTGCAAACCATCCAGTCTCGCCAGTGGAAGAGTGTCTGGGCACTCAAAGGCGTTATGGATGAGTTAGTGGCCATCCCGAACCATGGCATTACAGAGACCCAATTGGTCAACCTCTTCTATCATGCTATGCCCGAATAGCTGCACAGACATTCTTTTGAAAAAAGTCGGCAGCCTACCATGACCTACAACGCTTTGAGCAGGGAAGTGGTAGCGTTCGAAGCACGGTCCATGTCAATTTCCACTTTTTGGCACAAGGACCTGGACAAGGGCAAAAAGTGGACAGGTCGCACCATCTCGGGTCAGGTCAAGACCAAGGATCGTTTGATCCTTACGTTAGATGAGGGTGGTGTCGACGAAGTTCCCTACGAGCAGATTGAGTGGGGACTAGAAGAGGAGGACAGTGGCGTTAGTCAGGGGAGGACATACGCTGCTGTCGTGGCTGGGAGGCCGCAAGGAGGAGGTAGAGGTCAGGGCCAAGGGGGTCGTTCCCAGGGTGATCACGGGGTTGGTGGTAGGGGAGGAAACCGCCAAGCGAGAGGAAGGGGTCAAGGTCCCCCGCAAAACCGTTTTGGGAATAGGTCGCTTAATAGGGGTAATAGGTCACCCTACAGGAGAAGTGGTTGGCACCCAAGTCTGCCACAGGGCCGACCTTGGGAAGATTTGGGTCTGGACCAGCGCGTTTGGCAACAGCTTGTGGACCAGGGGCAGTGCATATATTGCGGTGACCCTGGCCATATCATCAAATATTGTCCAAAGTATAGAGAGGCTCGATGGGCTGCCCAGGGGTCAAAAGGCAGCCGCCAGTAGAGGTATAGCAACTGCCCCTACCATAAGGCCATGTCGGGAAATGAGCGCGAGCCGGCAGGAAACTCCCACACCACATGTGCCTACGGCAGAGGTTGCAGGCCGGTGCCTAGATAGCTGTCCTGAGACTGCTTGTGTTAGGGTCTCTCTAGGCACTTCCCTCACAGGCGTGGCCGGTAAGCTAAAGGAGAGGATGCCCACCTGGGCCAAAATGAAGAAGGAGAGTAGAGGAATTAGTTTTCGTAGATGTAGAGATGTTCAGAGGTAGAGTAGGGGCCCTAACAGATAGTGGGGCCACATGCAACTATATTAG